AGAACCCCCCCCCCCCCCCCCCCCCCCCCCCCCTGTAAACTCCGAGAGCCGAGACTCTATGTATATGTGTATGTATATTACAGCCCGAAGAAACGAGGAGATGGATGCGTCATGGCAGCGGTTCTACAACGTGTGCAAAGGGTTATATGTAAGACTGGATAAGTCGTCATCTTCTATCGCATGCATGGCGTTGACACCGTCATTAACTTCAAGGTCGGTTCAGACCCTCATGACGTTATTCGTTTCCAGTATCCTGTGCTTCTTTAATGGCATGTATATAATTTGGTTCTATAGTTGTGTGTTTTGGTTGGTTTATATATCTAGGTTCCTATTTGTAATAGTCTCACTATCTCGCAGGAGATCTCGTGTTGTTCTGTTCTTGTTGTTTATCATGGTAGTTTACTGCCCTTATTGGCTATGCGTCCTCAGGACGGTATATTTCTGATGTTAAAAGTTGTTTCTTCACATATCCGTTCCGCGAACTATGTACATAATTCAGAATTTCCGTTACTCAGCGTTGGTAATTATGACCATTATTATTCGAGATTATGGGTGTTCAGAGCTTACCGAATTGCATCTCATGTAGGTAGTAATGTTATGCTGACGGTGTAATATGCCTTATTTGTTATCATTTCCAGTAATTATGTGCAGGGTTGCTTTGTTGGGCCACCATGGGTCATTACGCCATATTGTTAAAGCCATTCGTGGGCCAAACTGCGACAACGTGAGCGATAAAACCTTTGTCTATCTCCGTTGTTGTTGTTGTTGCGAAAGACAAAACGTAAGTCTCGCCGGAGAATATCGGAAACGAAACCACACATCTACTGACGTTCCTCGACTGCCTACAAAATTATCTGCAACACTTCCCCGTTTGGATCAAATGCGCACCTCGAACCCACAAAGTCTCGGTTCACAACCCAGCATCTCGTAAAAGCGGTATCTCCCTCCATCTCATAAAGAACTCATTTTATGACATCTGTGAGTAATTCTTAGGACGACGCGGCGCAATCACAAACATGCTCTTCACATGTATGTAAAATCAGCGTATGCTGATATAGAAAAACCTACAATTTCTATACCCGGNGTTCACAACCCAGCATCTCGTAAAAGTGGTACCTCCCTCCATCTCATAATGAACTCATTTTATGACATCTCTGAGTAATTCTTAGGACGACGCGGGGCAATCACAAACATGCTCTTCACATGTATGTAAAATCAGCGTATGCTGATATAGAAAAACCTACAATTTCTATACCCGGACACCTTGGATCAGGCTCATCACTTCGCGGGAATGGTATATGCAGTTCGACCTGTGTGGCATTAGTGAACTCTGTGTGGCAGGTGGCAAACTTCTCCTGAACAGTTCAATTGCTTTTTGTTTTTCTAGGCACTCCCAAATTGCCACTTACCTTTATGTAAATGGCGCCCGAAGTTTTTGACGCAAACTCCACTTTTACGGTCACGCCGGACGTGAGACATTCTGTCGTAAGTCCTAAAAATAATGCCATTAATTCACTATCGCCACGATGCACTACCTACATACTAGTGAAAGATTATGTTTGTTTCGCATTTTTCTGAATGGAAAACGGGCAAATTTCGCTTCGAGAGGGTAATGAAGTGTTTATCATAAAGATCACGAATTACATGAAAAGGTAAAGGAGAAAAGTATGAGCAAAACTGAAGAGTCTTAATTCAAATGGAAGAGAATTTAGATATTCTTTTCCATAGTATCTGCGAAAACTGCGGAAAGAAATAGATTTACCTCAAAGTTTCTGCAGGTTCCTCTAGAATTACTTGGTAAAAAATCCACCCACTTGGGTGTCGGATCTCTCTTTCTTGCTTATTAACCCCTATGATGGCTGAAGAATTTCCCCATGCTTGCTTGAAACTTTTATCAGGTATAAGGCCTTGTCCCTGGTCGACACTCTTACTAACAGGTCATTCGGTTCCCCTTCTGAGCGGTTCTCGTCACGAGTCTTCAACGCCCCAAACAAGAAGGTTGAATATCAACCTTCATCTGGTCGATCAACTGCGACATCGTGGAATCTGCGAATTTCGTTACTCGCACACAAGTGAGTTGTTTCCCTGTATAGTTTTCACCTATGAAAAATTCCACAACACTCTGGAAAAAATGTATAACTAAACGAAAATATCAATAAATACTTAGCGAGCCTAGGGCTGGCTGCTACATTGTTTTACATTGAAAACTTACATTGAGCAAAACTTACTGGCTTTCACAGGAGACTTCTGTTCTTTCAAGAAATCAGCTGTATCATCGATAACAGTGCCTTCAGTCAGTGCTTCCTTTCGTTCCACAACATTTGACTTGAAGTCATGCGACGGGCTTGAGCTCGTGACAGATTCGACTGCTTTCGAAACTTCTTCGACATCAGCCAGACTCAATGACGTCTGAATTCAATTTGATTATTTTTAGAAGCTCATTTTTGCAGAGCAATACAACTCGGTAGGTTTACCATTTTAACACGTTTGTTGGTTTTCGGTGTGTTTCAGAGCATTCAATTTTGGAAGAGAAACAAACGGCAAGATGGTAACATTATGGTAGGTGATGAGAAGAGATAACAATTGATAAGAACAGATATAGCCTTCAAAGACAAGAGCCACACAATCCATAACGACCTTCGTGTTAACAGCGACATCCCGGCCCTTCAGTAGGTGAAGTGAATCGTAAAGTTATCGTTATTGGTTGTTTATAACAAAAAGTTTAATAATAGATAGGTGCTCCATAGAAGGCAAGAGTCATTGAATCGGTTACGTCCTCCGTTTCAAAAATGGAAACACCTTATTGCTTGATGTGAGACGTGACGGGATCGTGAATGCCTGGTGGCAGGGACTGATAACAAGGGATAAGGTCTGATAAGAGGCCATGCAAGGCAAGAGTCCAGAGTCTGTAACGCCCATGTATTAACAGCGCAGCGGAACCTTGAGAGACTGGTGAGTTACGTGGATTGTGACGGGTTCGTAGGCGAATTGACAATAGCTGTTAAAGGCTGATAAGGGGCTATAAAAGGCAGGGACTACTGAATCGGTGGCTTTCTTCAGATCAATAATCCAGGCTTGATACCTTGGAGAGTGAAGTGGGATTTGTCAGGATCGTGGCTGATTCGTTGATGACTGATGATTGCTACTAGCTCACTTGCTCTTTTCTTCCTACTTATATAATCGGCTAAGTGTGTCTGTTGGTGTGTTTGGGGGTGTGTGTGAGTGTGTGTGTGGGTATGTGTGTGTGTGTTTGTCCGACCGGAAATTCATGACTCCCGTCCCACTGTAGCTAAAGCATTCAAATTTGAAAGAGGGATAGGCGGTACGATGGGAACAGCTATGGTAAGTGAATGGAAGTGATAACAATCGATAGAAATGGATATGGAGCCTTAAAAGGCAAAAGCCACAGGGTCCGTAACTCCCTTCGCATTAGCGATGAAGCCTTGGCACTTTGGTAGGTGATGTAGGATGTGATGGGACCGTTAATGGTTGGTGACAGGGAATGATACCAAGTGATAGGGGCTGATAAGAAGCCATAGAAGGGGAGGGCCTGTAGGTCTGTGACGCGCTTCCTGTTAATAGTGGAGTCTTGGTATTTCAAAAGGTATGTAAGATGTGGCAGGATCGTAGGTACTCGGTGACGGGATCGAGAACGGTTGGTGCCAGGCCAGGAGCTGATAAAACTGATAAGGGCTAATGAAATTTTTCGAAAGCGCAGAGCCACCATGATAATGGCATTAATAGTGGAGCCTTAACAGTTTGGCATGTGATGTGGAGTATGGCGGGATTGTAGACGACCGATGATAGGGACTGATAACAGCTGATAGCGACTGATAAGGGCACTAACCAAACTGACTTTAACGCATGTGGTATCTATGATGTATTTATGATTACGACTATTATATAGATTACGACCGCTACCCAGCAAGGTTTGTAACTCGGTGGAAGAACAAGTTCACCTTATGTTTTGATATTATTTACGACAAAGCTCNAATGAAATTTTTCGAAAGCGCAGAGCCACCATGATAATGGCATTAATAGTGGAGCCTTAACAGTTTGGCATGTGATGTGGAGTATGGCGGGATTGTAGACGACCGATGATAGGGACTGATAACAGCTGATAGCGACTGATAAGGGCACTAACCAAACTGACTTTAACGCATGTGGTATCTATGATGTATTTATGATTACGACTATTATATAGATTACGACCGCTACCCAGCAAGGTTTGTAACTCGGTGGAAGAACAAGTTCACCTTATGTTTTGATATCATTTACGACAAGCTCATCCGACCTCCAATAATTCGGGACTCTCAATTAATGATGTACCCGTGGAGGAAAGAAGGTCCAGTGAAAACGACATCTGATAATGGTGTTATTATCACTTGAGAGAGTTTGTGAGTACTACTCAATTCTTTCGTTGCCTATCAGTTATGCCTTTCGAAAGTTTTGCAGGTACAACGAAGTTATGAAATGGGAAATCAAGCGATACTGTTCGTATTGGCCCTCTAACAAGTCCTAGGTAAGCGGGAGTGGGCATGTGGTGCACGCATTCGCGTGCGTAGCCCAACTGGTATTACAAAAGGACACTGCTACCTGTAGCTATATAGGACTGGATAGCTATAAAGGATACAGAAAATGATGACAGCTGATAGAGACCGGTAAAGAACCTTGAGCTACTTGGTTTGTATCCATTTGACATATGGCCCTTGATATGTCCTGTCCTTTTTATAGGGTAAGATGTGGTGGTAGGATAAGTTGATAAGAAACGAGCAATACTTGCAGTGAAAAGGACCGATCAAAGTCAGTCACATAAGAGAAACGGTTTTGCTTCATTCCTTGCTATTAATTTAGGACGAGTACGCTTCAGGATTTGCCCCCAGTGAGAAAAGACGTTTACGAGTAGTCTGAAAATCTCGACCAACTAGTCACATATAACAAGATAAGAAGGGGAATGAATACAGACTTTTGATTAATCAGGTACTCAATCATGAAAAAGTCGATGCATAGTAAAGGCGATAGAGGGAGAGATTCATTTCTTCGGATTGTTATAGCAGAGGCCAAGGGCGTAAGAGGCCTACCCTATGATGTAGGTACAATGGTGTACTAAAATTTCCCGCTACTGATGTCACCTTAGTATGCCTCTTTATATTTCCTTGATCCTTTTCGGTTTCCCATTCTCACTTTTTCAGCGATGATCTTCTGCAACCCACCACACGGTCGTCCACGTTGTGTTGTTCGTTTGGTTCAAGTGACAGCGAGGCCACACCATCAGCCACGGCATCGCGTTCAGCACTGGATTCCGTACGGTGTTTAGCCAAGACTACTGGATCACAAATTTTGTCGAAATAGTCCATGTTTTCTGCCTTCACGAAAAGTTCTGGATGTGAAAACTGGGAAGTCTCCGACAGTGAGCAGCGATCCTGAAAGTGGAACTTAAGGATCGAAAGTCGTATGATAATAATAAAAGATGGCTATGTAAGTTCGACGAAGACGGAGGCCCTCTTACATACATAATACCTCAGTTTCTGCGCCACTTGAAATGAAGTCACAAAATACTCCTCAGCATCAGTTTGAACCCCAAAACTAGGCACTTCAAAAGCTTTCAAGCTTTTCTGAACACTAGTTCCCATTTTAATCAACCTCAAAATTTATATAATACTGTTTGACATTATCGAGGTAAAAAATTTAATCAGTGAATGGCCATACCAATGCATATATCTATAAAATGCCCAAAAAACTACCCAAATCGGTTAGGAGTAACCTTGAAGGTAGATGTTGTTTAAGTTGCCATTGAATAAGCTTACTAACTAAGTCAGACAAATAATATTTTCAAGACATGTGAGGGTTTCATTCTGGAGTAGTACGATTTCATGAGAAACTCTCAATCTCGGAATACTCGAGCTTGGGAGTAGGCGATAAAGTTAAGCTATCACAAAGGTCCAATATCTTACCGTTCAAAGGCACAAGCTCAATGGCGTATGCAATTGTAATGAAATGACGAAAAAGGAGCGACGAACGTGAATACAATGTTTTTGGGGTTAGTTAAAGACGGCGGGCACTCGTATGGACGGGAAACTACTCTCACTGTCCCCATCTGAGAGATTGTAGAGGATATTCAGCCGTGAAGAGGATTTCCCCATACTACTGAAGTCTGGGAGCAAACAAAATGATTCAATTGTCGACTGAAAAGCTCCTATATTACCTACACTGCAGCAGTACTTATGTGATTCATACGCTCTTTTAACTATTGACTGATTTTTTATTTGAGAGTCAGCCTGAATTAGAACAACCCTGTGAGGTTCCTAGAAGCACTTCAGAAGTCATGTGTCGGAAATGTGTAGGTCGACATTTTTTCTCATTCCCCAGAGCGACTCTTCAACAAATGTACAACCTTTTCATAATTGAACACGGCTGCAGCACACTGTACGCCATCCTGCAGACATATTGCTAAGCAGTTGTGCACACTTGTAGAGCTGAATTCCTGAATGAGGAAGTGTTTGGCATTTAAAACGATCAGAGGAAATAAATTACCTTGTATGGCTTTGAAGTCATTGTTCTGTCTGGAACCTGCTCGTAAGAAGCTTCAAGGCAAGCGATGGGTACTGAAGTTGGAAGATTGCTCCAGGTTTTTAATGCTTGCCTAGTTGTCTATGCAATTTTTTTTNNNTTTTTTTTGATGACGCTCAATATTATTGAAAATCGTGAAGTACGCCTCATAACTTTCCTCAGAGGGCCCCTCTCATCTTTTGGAACGCCTTCGAGACGCAAGCCACAGCGCAACTAGTCCGAAGGGCTCAGAATAAAGGAGAACTTAGTTGTTCGGAATGGAAAACTTCTCGATGCGAGAGTATGAGACTATGCCTTCCGTTACAGCGTAGCTCATGCTCAACGGAGTTATTTAATGAATAAGCCGCAAACAAGGGACATGGGAACACCTCCATGGACTCCGGCTTGGCAAACTTCCGGGTTTTCGACTTTCACCCTCTCTATCCAGCAGAACAAACTAATGAAGTTTTGAGCTCATTCTAATAGGTTGATGCATAATTACTGCGGATTTTTTCGCGGCTTCGTTTCTCTCAATACAATTTCAATATCGAAGTCGGTATTTTTACAGAAATAATGTACTCGCTTTCCTCAATAGAAATATGCCTAGAAAGTGAGCTTCTTACACTCCACATTATGCTCTATTACTTCGAGAAATGACGGAAGGTGGCACACTCATTACGCGATCTCACCGATCTTCTTGGCGATGGAATTGTTAGCCAAAGCCAGTTGAGGACGGGGATTTGCTCCTAAATCTTCATATTGACCCACAGAAACCCTATAAGTTATCACGTATCCGATCGTTGAAAGACTGGCTAGCAAACAGGCTTAGCGACGAAATGGATGACTTGGTGGCCGATGTTAAGGTGTGGATCGCCGTTGAAAACCGAAACCTCTTCGTCTGTGGAATCCGGCTGCCTAGCAAATGGGAAGCAGTCCGGACCAATTATTAGAACATGTATTTGTTAAATACTTTCATATTTCTTCTGAATAAAAATTGCTGAAAAAAATCTGCAATAATTACGCATCAACCTAATAGCAAATATCCCTACCGCTGTCGGTAGGAGTGAGCAAAATAACCTAGACTTGCTGGCAAGTTGACAAGAGTTGATAAGCCCTTCGAGTAATTAGAAAGGTTACCTTGTAAGCAGTACTTTTCAAAGTACTCTCCACTTGAAATCGGTTTCAAGTTGAACGAACTGCCTCGTCTCCCGGTGTAACTGAAATCGCGAACTACTCTTTCTCTAACGAAAGCATACTCAGAGTTTCCAGGCAGTGCTGTTGTCGACAAGATATACGAAGCTCTTCTAATCATTACCGAGCAAGATTTGCGGATTATTTATTTTTTCAGGATAAGCAATTCACTAGAAAAATTACTCAACACTTAGGCAATGGAAAAATGATTTTTTACGTGATAATTATGTGAATGACAAACCCAGCATCAGCAGTTAGATGGCATTCCTTCTTGGCAGCATTATAGACGAATGCTCTGCAGGGAAACTTTTCTGTTCCCACGAGATTTTCCTGGAAGAAAGGGAAAAAGTTGAACTCAGTTTTCATTTGAAAATAATTGCATGAACCTCGCAAACAGCTTTGCATTCTTCAAGACTCATACTTTCGATTGTCACGTCTTTATCGTGGTTGATGAAGTACTCCTCGGTCCGAATCCAATGCAGTTGTCCATTGAAGCAGTGCACTGAAACTCAGGAGCGCTCTTCTCTTCCTCTATGAACAGATCACTGATTATGCTTCACTATTCATTCATCTTCTACGGTTTTTATCGCTCCCCAATGATGAGCTGCAATAAACTCCGTTGGCAATAAACTTTTTGACGCATTTTCATTTCTTTGACACCCAGCGCTACCCACGATGAACAGCAAGACAAGATAATTTGAGTGTCTCGGAATGTTAGCAAAAGAATTCGCCGGCTCATGAAAGACAAGAAGGATCTATAACCTACAAAACACTCAGGAAAATCTTATTCTCCATCGTAAGCTAATATGAAGATTACAAAAGAAACAGTGACGAGACTTCAAATCAATGTATGGAGTTTATACTACTAGACAAAAATAGGCCGAAACTGTTGTATGAACAGCCTAAACAACTGAGCGGTCAAAGCTTCCTGAAACGCAATGCCATCTTGACGAGCATTTCGAGCAATAATGCCGCTGGGAAAAATTCGCCCTCCGCAGGTAAGGCGACGTAAATTAGTTTTCCGGAAGAGTGGAAAAATTTTACACGTCGCCTTTTACAAGTAGAGAAAAGTGTTCCCCTTCAACTTCTGGCAATCGTTCGAACGACCCCTTGTCGGTATGAGAAAGTCAAATTTTGATCAAATAGGGATTTCATTAAATTTTCTTCGTTTCCTCTGAGAAGGTAGCCTCAATGCATCTCACTGAGGCACTTTGATCAAACGGTACAGTTTGTACTCACGAGTAATGAACAAAACTTCTTCCTTGGACAGGACTCGAATCGTTACAGCAAAGGAACACTGCTGCAAAATCTGCTACTAAACTTCACCATGGTGCCATTGCAGCAGTTCGTTCGAGTCCGTAGGGAAGACCTTTTGAAAGGTTAGGCGTTTTTATCAGATTCTCACTTACTTCATCATCTGAGTTTGTGACGAGACAATGGACACATTCCGCTGAAGCATTTCTCCCAAGAGGAAAACAGTTCAGTTTAGCTAGCACTTCTGTTTAAGTGCCAGGTGCTTTATCCGGCCCTTCTTTTAAATCAGCATTGATAAAACAAATACTAGCCAACCTACAAAATGTGCCAATATCGTGAGTTGACTGATATTTGTTTCATTGATGCTGAGTGAAATTTGACATCATTTGCCTCAGACAATTGGCAAAAAAATGTGAAGAATGCACTATTCTGATAATGTTAAGTAAGTATGCCGCTTTCAAGGAGCCATTCAACGGGATTTATCCTACTATGCCCTATCAATTAAATGAATCGTCAAAGAAGAAAAAGGATCAGTGTCAAGAGGCTCTGCAAAGTTAAACTTCAAACTTCAGATTCATTCTCACCATCTTGACAATTATTTTCGAAATAATCGACGAGCTGATCCTGCACTCCATCGATGAACAGTTCCGGCCAGTCACTGCGACGTTCACGATTTATAATGCATTCGCCGGTTTCGTAGAAGAACATCGCCGAGCGGCATTGCGTATGAAGTGATGTCGGAGCTGCTAGACATCGGGACAAGCACTCTGACAGCCCTTCAGTAAGAACTACCTGCAATACCAAACATGCGCATGACCGAAGAATTGGCTTCATATTCTGCTTACGCAGCAATATCACTTTTTGCAGCTGCGCTAGTTATGTAGGAAGTGAGAGAAAGTTATTTTATTGACCGCAAGTTATATTGATCACAAATTCTGTGGGGCGATCTCGATAAACTAGGTGAAGTACCAGATTTAGGATGCCGTGTTGGGACAAGCTACTTCTCACAAAACTTCCATGAATGGATTGGAGGTCTGCGTCAGCGTAAAAAAAATGAGAAATAAAGAGGAAGTACCGCAAGGCTTTCTGCACTATTCTTGACTGAATCTTTATTGCGAGGCCTCCTTGTAGGGTGGAGTATAGATTGTCAAAGTGTATAAAGAATTTAAAGGAGAACCGTCTGAAACTTTGAAGATGGGTCTCCATTATACATATGTATGTACGATTCATTTATAGAACTACGATTTATTAAATGATTTTGAAGTGTCTGGGAGATTATGGCCTGCGTATGTGGTCTGTACAATGACTTGCGGTCGCCAGCGATGTACAAGTCAGTGCTTTTATCGACCCAGACGGGTCCGTTACCAACTGAACGACCCAGGAGAATCTGAGGTTCCATGGCCTAGGCGGATATGCTTCATAGGGATTGAAATTCCCAATTTCAATTCTGTTATGCGCAGTGCCTCCAAATGTTCGAATACGGGGCGACTCAGCGCTATAACTGCAATCATAAATGATACCTTCATTGCATGGCCGATGAGCAGGCTTTGTGGATATCTCTCAAATCCATAAGGTGTGGAACAAAGTGCATCACCTGGAAAGAGATTCCTGTCTCGATAGGAAATTGTTTATTGCCGCGAAAAATGTGGGATAAAAACACTTTTGAGTTGGGTTCCTGAAAGACGAATAGAAGAAAAATGTTTGAAAGTTCTCCATCGAGCAAACACCGAAGCAGCAGTCTCAGGGCTTGCCGATCTTCTGTGAAGGACCAGGATGTAATTGATATTCCTACTCGAACATTGTCCTACCTCTGACGCACACCTGTTGAAAAAAAGCAACCGGGCCGCTGGTCTTCGTTAGAACGCTGGCGCCAAACGGCTGTCCATCCTCCGCATGGATAGAACATTCCTGAGATCGAGCATCGTATTCGAATGATGAACACTCATGGCCCTGTAGAAACAGTCGATAAGACGAGGATATTTAGGGCATCTTAAAATAAAGCTGAAATGCTTGGGCCATGGATGGGATCTTTCGTATAGTGACAGGGTGTACCAAGGGCGGAAAAAGACGAGGGAACGGTCTGTCAGTTATGGCAATCTCTCGCGCTCTAACTTTTTTACTAACTCCCTACTCGTGGTTGATCAGCTGTTGGTTACTGAATGACCTTCGGTATCAACACCCACAAATAAGCTAGTTCGGAGAAGTATGTCTCACAGTATAGTCCGAATAAAAAGCACTAACACTAGAAGAAATCAAATTGGAACTAGAGAATGAATCAAGTCGGACTACAAACGAAAAAACACTTATACCGACGGTTGCTTTCAAAGGCCAAGGAAAGGCCCAGTCTCAAATTCATTATATCCCTATTCGATCGAATTTTCAGGCGAACTAGTCGACTTCGAACGGTCCAACCGCACCATACGGGAGAAAGGTCATTAGAACAAAATTGCATAGTCGCACACCCCTGACACCCCTGGCGCCCTACCATCTTCCCTTCGTAACTCCTCGATACGCCACTGAAGCGGAACGCCTCACGCGGTTCCAGTTTCAGCACATATCCCCAGTTAAACTGATGCAGGTTTCCGAAAAGTGAGCGATAGCAATCATTAGCCTTTTGAAGTCTCAATGTGCTTCTGGAATCTGAGCAGACAAACCTCAGTATTTGTTGAGCAAGCATTAGCACACATGTTCAACGTCACGTTCTTGATGCTGTGAATGGCAAACTCCATCAGTCGTGTACCTTCTGATCGCAAATATGTCGTAACATTCTCACCTTCACAGATCGCACCTGGAAGAAAATAAGAGGCGTGAATTCTTTACTTCTAGGATGAGAATTCTTGTTCTTCTTTATAACTTCTTTAGAATAGACTAATTTTCTAATTGCTCTATGTTGACGTATCTCTATTTTCCAGCTACTGTTCTGGAAATAGCTCATAGTGAGGGAACCACGCCCTGCAGTGCTTCTATTTTCTTTTGCTGTTTATGTGTACTTAACTCCATAAATAAAAACCTTGCACAAAAGTGCTTTGTAATTTGTCAAAGATACCTTAAAGGGGGCCCATGTTGAAATGATGAAAAAGGGAAGCAAGAGAAAGCTGAAAAAATCCAAAAAAGACCCAAAACTTCAAATATGCAGAAAAAAGCCTTTTACAACAAAAGCAGAAATATGGATGGGATATTTCTATTAGGATATCGTGACCGCTCAGGGTTGCTCGTAATTCTTACCAGAAGTCTCAATCACACCCATTGCGAAGACTACATCCTAACATACATCCCACGATTGACATTTCGTTCACAATAGAAAGACTGATCTGCAGATTCGGTTTCACTAGCTTTCAGGTCTGAAAAGTGAGCCGTAATGGCGACTGGGTGATGCTTATCCTACAATACCTTCGTCGTAATATTCAAGCTATTTAAATGCCAGGAGAGGCTTGCCACTAACTGCGGTATTCTCAGGTAAAACTGAGATTTGAACTGCAAAACAGCATCAACAGGATGAACCAAAACTCGTATTATGATGAAATGATGGCTACTGCCGCGGTAACACCAACCGAGAAGCCCATGAACACCCATTTTTCGCCAAATTTCTGTACAGGGATGAAAGTCATCTGCTAAGAGGATAGCCGTTGCTTTGCTGTTCTCAGCCGTTCACTTCGGGTTTCAGCCAATCCGTATGTCACAGAGTGCTCCTATCTTCATTTCTGAGTGCATTGTCTAAGTTCCACTTACATGCAAACTATTATACTTTCCCGGGACTGTGTGTATGAGCTTAACCCACGGGCGACCGCATCACATTGTCATATATTGTCATCACATTAACTTTTAATTTCTTTTATAACTCTAGTTGAAAATGAATGGTTTCTGAACCACAATGCCTCAAGGATCTCTAGAGAGTTGTGAGCTCAGCTGATACTTGAAAACATGGAAAAATTATAAGAACAATCGATAAATAATATAAATACTACAGGAGCACGATATGGTATGGCCCGCCGGCGAGCCACGCGGTCGTCAATGGGTTCAGGGAGGCAAGGAGAAGTGTCAAAGTTGAGAAAGTAAGATGAATTGTAATTTGAAAGTAGAGTTGGGTGTAGGACAGGTGATCAAATGTCAAGCCAAGGTAAGTTTGCCATCCTTCCATAGTTTTGAATTGATACAAGGTTCACAGGCAGAGGCGCTGATCTGTTTAATGACCGCTCCCTTTTCTTAATTTGTATCGCCTTATCACCTATTACTGTTTCTGACGACTATTTTATTTCTTATTTTGTAAGCGAGGCAAATGCTCAAAGGCACAGTTCACGATAATTGTGGCTAACCTAGTTTTGGACGATTAATGGAAGTGTAGCTCAGAACAAAGCAAAATTGGCAAAGAAAACGCGAATTTTTATTTTTACATTATGTCCAAATCTGTGCGCCATTGATACTGATAGTTACAGTAAGCTGCCTGCGTGTCACATGTGTGTCCCGGTGCGAATGGTGCAGCCTCTAGGCTTTTACGATGCTTAACAATTCGTCCACATTGGGGGTGTACGTCGGCTAAGCCGGTTCCGAGAACCCTTTTACGCCCTTTTCCGACCTAACAGTTTCCCTTAGGCTATCTTTGAGTGTCACAGGTCTTCCTAGGGGGGAATCTTAGAAAACATTTTTAACGTAAACTGAATCTTTGGTACTATTCTACTATTACAACCCCAAAAACTCAAAATTTTAGTTTTCGATGAAACTTCGCGTGTAGGAGTAATCCGATGCCCTGATAACGAACATAACATTCATTTTTGGCGCTGGCGCCAATTGCCGCCAAATGGCGCCAGCGTCAAGAATGAATGTCATATCCGTTATCAGGACTTTAAATAACCCCTGTACACAAATTTTCAGCTAATTTGGTGAAAGCTCCCTTGGCGCCAAATGGCGCCAGCGCCAAGATTGAAGGTCATATTCGTTATCAAGGCATCGGATTACCCTTATAGGCGAAGTTTCATCGAAAATTAAAATTTTGAGTTTTTAGGGTTGTAATAGTAGAACAGTACCGAATCTTTAAATGCACTACGATTCTGTACGGTAGTTTTATTGATTAGCTCTCGAAATGGTACAACGTGAACTGTGCCTTTAATCGCCTATTCTCTTCGTTGGCCGAGGTGGGAGTCTATCCGGGATTCGAACCAGCGACCATACGTGTGAAAGGTGGGAGTAGAGGTTCAATGTTAACCCAAGCGAATGTTGCACAAAGTAGGGGAACTTTCCGAACTACCCTCTACATCTCCCTGAAGTTGAGTTGGAACATCATAAGTTGTGAAATGTGTGAAGTAAGCAAGCTATTTGAAACATGTTGAGTTTTTGGGAGCAAACAACATTAGCATTACCAAAGTAAAAAATACCTATGCCGAGCCAAACTGGAACAACAGAGTTTGAGAAGGAGTGAACAGAGCCAAACGATGAAGGAAGTATCGGAACTTCATGGTAAATGAGAAGGCACCAAAGCAGGCGGAGGGTAAACCAAAAATCCGTTTTGGTGTTTCAAAACATCCCAGATTCAGGAGAAAAGGTGTGTGGAAGCTAGAGAGTGGAAATCCCACTTTTCTATGACAGATGGGAGGACAACAAGATGGGTCGAGCTTCAGTCACAAATCTTCATCAGTGTTCGAAGTCGATCTTCATCACATTCCACATGAAAAGATGGGTAAAACTATTATATATAAAATGTCGTTTGCCACAGCGGTGATTTGGAAAGCTGGGAATCTCAGTTTTGAGTTCCGAGCAACCATCAAACCTTCTATCGCAAACGTGATGTTTCAGAGCAAGAAACTAATGATAATCGGACGGAGCAAGACTTGGCGAACAAGGAGGATGGAGCCGCATCTCCCATCCAAATTAGACAATTTTCTGACGAGACAGTTTCGCAACATGCGATGGGGCGCTGTCGTGAAAAAGACAAAACTCTCCTCGCTGCGGGCACTTCCTTCGAACAACGTCGGCCAAACTCCGTAGCTAAGAAGCGTAGGCGGTCACAGTGGAACCCTTAGAAAGTTATCCAATGTAGGGCATTCATTCCCTGGTTGTGAGAATCCCACCAACAACACGGCAATGCTTTCCTCGGTTTAGTCCACTTCTCTGCTGTCTTGAAGAAAGTTCGTTACGAGGCCCTCGCAGGTTGAGATACGACGTCTTTTTCGAGCGCACCACAGATACTTGCGACAGACAGCCGTAAATGAACCACGCCTCTACAGTGATTCGTAAATGATAGACGATAGCTCTCAGACAGCTTCGGTCGACAGCTGAAGTTTGAAGTCATATTTGGGAAACACTTACAAGAGCACATTTATGTGGACCCCTAAAGTACAGGTTCGGGATCGGTCTACCATGACCTATTATGAAACTTTTCCAAGTGGCCCTACGAAAGAATCTAGAAAGGGATGAAGAGTCAATCAGAACTTTTTACTAACTTAATATGAGAAGTACTGTTCCAAACGATCTGGAAGCCGGGAGAAAATGCGCAGAGACTAGCAAAAAGAATGATGGTAAACTCTCCGTTGGAAGGGTATGCACCAAAACTGGCGGAATTTGATAGAAATCCATATCAGTGTTTGAGTAGAGACTAGCAACGGAGCCAGGTAACCCATAACTTCCGGGGCATAGTGACCGAGAAGAAGGATAAATCATAATCACAATACCCGACACTTTTAAAGGCACAGTTTACGATAATTTTGGGTAATCCAGATTATGATGAAAAATGGACGACAAGATCGAAAGTAGTGCGATGAAGGTGGAGAAACCGCGTGAATCGGTGTTTCGAAAGTGAAAAAAGGCTTCGAATAACCGTCAAAAAGGGGGCTGGACGAGAATGAAACAAGAAAAATGAAAAAGAGTGGGGCACCCGGACGAGCTAAACAGTGTGTTTCACTGCGCACGTGTGGGTCCTGGTGCGAATAACAGACAATGGTAAGTAAAAATTCACTTACTTATAGCATAAATGAACAAAAAAATCCTAGTAACAGCAAAAGTATCTCCCCTTTTTCAGCCTCTAAGAGTAGGAAATTAAATAAGGGATCGCGGCAGCATAAAGAAAAGCAGAGGAAAAAAGAATGAGAGAAAAACATCGCCTCATCACTCGGTGATTAGCTGAGTGTATGTGGGTCCTAGAACGAATAATAGCAATCTGTATTGTCTCGACACTCATCTAACGTGACACCGATCGAGGGGCGGGAAAGCGAACTACGGCAGCAACGGGGCTTCCACTATGCCCTAAGCGCCGAGATTGTGGGAGCGAGAGGGTCCCTTCTACCACCCGTGGGGGCGCTGAGTATTCCTAAAGGAAGAACTCAGTAACCTTGTTTATCGTGAACCGTGCCTTTAAGGCATCTAGCAGTCGAATAATGAAGTGATTGTCCAGAAGAGTGCAGGTAAGGTGAACAAAGGAAAAGAACGGGGAAAAAACTCGAAAATCGCAGTATTCAAAGAGAATATGAAATATATCGCTCCGAAAAGTAATAAATTCATGGATTGGACACGAATAAGAATAAAAACGTTGAATATAAGTGGCATTCGGACCCGTCCCATTGAGTGTGCTACTGCGTACAGCTGGCTACGGTGAGCTGCCTGCGTACAACATGTGGTCACGGTGCGAATGGTGCAACTTCTCCAGCTTGCATTATACAATGTCGTCTCACAGCTTCTATAACGCCGCCGAGAACCCGCCCTGCTTGGGTGTGCACAACCCCAGGCCGGTTTTGGAGCCCTTGCTGCGCCTTATCTAGGTAGTTTCTTGACCCAAGTTCTTGTGCTCTTCTTGAGAGTCACAGCTCCTCCCTGGAGGTGAATAATTTTAAACATTTTGATCGAGCTGTGTCTTTTAACAAAAAAACTAGAGCGCCCGAACTCTCGAGGAAGACGACGTTAGCTGCCAACATTCACATTAAAGGCACTGTTCGCGATAATTCAATGGGCGGGTATGTCAATGACGTGGCCGCCTCTCATTCGATGTCACGTCACACTGTCTGACGTAACATCGAATGAGAGGCGGAAACGTCATTGACATACCCGCCCATTGAATTATCGCGAAGAGTGTCTTCTCGTCTCACCGACCTCGGAGTGATGGAAGGCTTGGTTGGCATCGATGACGGGCATCGGTCCAAGGTTCGAACGCCTGATCTTGCATGCGCCACTTACCACTACACCACCACGTACTGTACTGATACGTGCATGCACTTCATGATGGTTCTTCTTCGGTATTGAGAAACTTCTACTACATATGATACTATATCACTGGCTCTTCGATATAGTTAACGTTGGGGGAGCTGTCCCGCAAAAGAGACGTCTCCGAAGAGAAGCGTTCTACATCGTGTAACTAACAGGAACCATTTTAATCATTACCTTCCAACGAATGTTCAAGATCCATTAAGGAATGAAATCACCATCGTCAAGACGATTAGACCATGGAAACTTTTTTGAAAACAATCGCATGCCCTAAAGCAAAGATGCTGTTTTTGGGGAAAACTGGCTAACCGTCCAACTTCGCTTTCACAAGTCCATCACGTCACGGGAACTGATTAGACATACTTCGCAAAGTTGGAGTGATTTGGATG